TGAAGTCGCCCAGAAATAGATGAGGAGGTTCACTAAATTACTAACGGCAGGTTAGACACCTCAGCAGGAGAATCACGCCGCTGCTCTGAGCACGACACAAGCACCCTGCCAATAAGCGCCAGGAGTTAATTAAAGGACCTAACCAAGGACACTTAGACTTAATAAGTGTCCTTATTCTGATGGAATGCTGAAACCCTGCACTACGTAACAGCTCGACAGGCCTCACTGGCTGGAACAAAGCTCAAGGAGTTATCATTCCTCGTCTTTTGTCCTTCCTCTCTCCTCTTGTCATCTGAAGTAGGAATGACTATTTGTGTTATTGACTGATCTGTGGTATGTTCTTTTCCTTTCTTTTGTTGAGTGACTGATTAAAGGGGAACCCCACCAGTTTTACACATCTAAATTAGTTATCCATTTATGAGAAGTACCACTCAGAAAGTGAGAACATTTATGTAATGTCCTCTGGGGGCCTGGCAAAGCTGCCCAGCCAGGAAAAGTGAACCTGGCGATTTTATAGTGATGTCTTCATCCTGTGTTACAAACTGGGGTCTGACTAAAACTGAAAGAAGCAAATACTCTCGTTCAGTTAATATCACCTAAAATGATGAACTGATTATTACAAATCGTGGCCTTTCCCGTCACTTCATTGTGAATTAAAGGTGCCGGTTGCAGCAGAGAACAATATGTTATGTATCAAGAGGGTCACAGAGAGAGAGAGACAGGGGGATGTACCTCTACAGCACTGAGACCAGGTCCAGAATGGGAGCAGACAACAGGCATGAGTTCTGTGCTCTGACTCTTCCTGTTGTGTTTTACAGCCCCAAACTCCTGGGAGCAGCTGTGAGCCTGTTCAATTTAGGACAGACAGATGGAGATAGTGTTTGTGGTGATTGCATTAACATATCCAACCCTGATGAGGGCAGCGGTTTTGGAGGAAGGACCAATGAGTCGCGTTAGAAAGGAAGGGCAAGGAAGTAGGAGACAAAGGATGTTGAACAAAAGCTTGGAGCTCACTTATTTTTCTCATTACCTCTTCTCATTTCCTTCCTCTCTCTCCATCTCCTCTCTTTATCCTCCTGGCTTTTTCTTTTCTTTTGTCTCTCTACTGTTTCCCGCTCTCTCTATCTATCACTAAAGACGACCGCAGGCTGATGGGAAGCAGCCATGTGATGGCGAATACAGCAGCTTTACAGACGAGGGAGCAGAAGGTGAGAGCAGGATTCAACTTCTCCCCTGACAAAACACAGAATACATCTGAATACCAACGACCGTGCTTGTTCACACACACACATACCTTACTGTACGTGCACACACACACACACTGCAGCCTGAAACAACACCGGACTCGATCAGACTTGAGTTGCAAATCTGGTGACTTCAGATTTGAGCATTTAAAAATATATGCTTGTGCTGTGAACACGTGCTTGTACTGCAAAACAACATCAGTATTCAGCAGTACGAGTTTTATTTGTATTCTCCTATTTAGGCAGTAATGAAGACAGACCGAGTAAAGTTTTCTCTATTACCTTTTCCCTCTCTCTCACTTGCAGCGATTGGCCCTGAACCAAAAATGCACGATTTGTGAAACTGCATGCAAATCCACAAACAGACTGCATCTCGTCATGTGTGACCCTGTATCTTAGCTGCCTTTACAGAGAGCGTCCTGATGAAGAGGAGGGTGTGGAGGGCAAGTCATTTTGTCAGATGTGCCACAGATTCAGTCAGATCCATAGTTTACTCTGGACCTAACTCACCCATCAACAAACTTAAGCATATTTCCTAAAAGTATTCCTTTAAGATTTGCTAATGTATTTCTTTAGTGCCCTGTTAGTGGAACATGAACGTTGCAATGTTTATTACACCCTACAGTACAAAGATACTGTGTACTATTGTCAGAGCCTCAGTAGTATTGGAAGTAAAATGTAAAAATATCCTGAAGGTGGCAGTTAAGGAAAGGCCATGGGATTAAAATATAATGTGTCCTTCCATCGGCGCGGTTCAGACAGGAAACACAAGCGTCCTGAGTAACTCAGTAGGTCTCTGCCTAGTGTTTTGTCTACAAGTGGAAATTATCATTTGTTGGTGGTGTTAAAAGGAAAAATGATATTGAAAGGGGAATTCTGAGCCCATGGTGACTCCAGATAAGAAGATGAAGAAGTCCCCAAGCTTATTAGAAATAACCCTCTGGGGACCATGAATACTGACCCAGTAATTTTATCTTTACTCACATCTCGTTTTGGATGAGGGACAGAGAACGCCATCATTTATCGATGCTAAAATGTGATGTAATTACACTTTGAGTAAAACCAAAACACACAACGCAAGCTGCAGTCGAATCCACACACTTTGGCTCACGGTGTTTCCTCTTTGTAATAAAGTGTGTGACACCTCCACCCGGAGCAATCAAACACCAGAGGGAGTCAGTCTGTACATCCAACTCAGCTGAGAGCTTCATGCATCCACACTCATCATTAGCAGCAACAGGGAGGCTCTAAACTCTGGGAGATTGTCAGAGTAACAAACCATAAGGAATGCTGAATTCTGAGGGATAAATGAAAAGAAGCTGAAGCTAAAGTGTTGTGGTGAAAGTGTGTGTGTGTCACAGTATCCCCATTAATATTCTTGTTGGTGATGAAAGGGCTCTTAGCACAGCTGCAGCTCACGTTTATGGGGATGTTCATTTTTTCTATTCAACAGTGAGAGCAACGTTGAGGAGCAACGTAAAGTCTAACTTTACAGTAATTTCACTTAGACACTTAATAGTTATAGTGTTCTCTAGTTGAACCATATGATTTAGGGTTGTATAGTCAAAAGCTTTTATCTAATATAACATATCTACAGTTATTCTGTCACCCTAAATAGATACCAGAGGTTAAATAGAAGACTCAAGATGAACTGATGTGTAAAAGTCAACAAAGCCTCATCCTTTTCATTTCTACACACTCACAGATATTAAGGTAATTTAAATGTCAAAGAGATTTGAGCTGCCGTCTGGGCCATTACAGCTACTGCACAGAATGATCACCTGATCAGCCGACGAGTTGACCCAGATGTGTATGAAGTTAGCTGTAAGGTTATACCCCAGATGGCTACGTCTTGTATTTACTTTCCTTCTGACGCAGAAATAAGTGTGAGAAATGATTTGACTGAATTCGTGTTTATTCTGAGGCTGACACCGTTTGCCATCTCTACAACTGAGGTAGTGAAATGAGCACTAGCTACAGAGTCACCGTGCACACTTTTAGGGGAAACACAGCAGGTAAAGAAAAACTGAAGTTATCCTTTAAATACAAGCTATAGCAAGTTATAGCAAGAATGAATTAATTACTTTTAGTCAAGCTTATTGAGACTAATTATTGAAGATAAGCCCTTTAAGAAAGTAAGTAACTAAGACAGAGAGCGAGAACAATAAGGTGAGGGGGATCTGTACCCTACCAGGAGCTGAGCTCTATTCTATATCTGCATCTATTCCCTTCTCACAGGAGAAACTGAACAGTTGCTAGAACCCAGGAAAAGACTAAATAGATCACATGTACTGAAATAAAGACCCATTCTCGAAACCTCATTAACACTAGCACCAACCAAATTCTAAAGTCCGACCCTGAATTGCTTTTGAGCTGATAAGAAAGTCACCTTGTCAACTGTTTCTTCCAATTACTTTTCATGATAAAAAGGCAGCTTACAGTTCATCTGTGGGGCACATTTTTTAGAATAAATGTGAATAAACAGGGGAACAAAAGCTGCACACAGAAACACAGGCGATTCCACATGAGAGCGAGTGAGACAGAGGTCTCCACTGCCAAATTAAAGTGCAGATCTGCATTCAGCAGGTGGAGCACTGAGCAGAGAGGAGCCATAACAACCCAACTAAACATAATGTCAGTGCTCCAGTGCAAACATAAAAGCAACAAGCTAAATACGGTAGCTTTACAGTATGCAACAGATTCTTCTCTGCTGCCACTGCAGGCACTAAAGCAAGAGCTATTAAAACGGTCACCTACTCCCTTTATAACCCTTCAGACTTATTAACACAGGTAGCTAGTTAATCTTATATGAAAGAACAACATCAGAAAATTAGAATGAGCATCATTTGGATTCATTACAGTTGTGCTTCATTTATGGTGAGAAATCCTACTTGTCTCAGGAGACAGGTGAGACGACCTTTAAGACTCCACCGCCTCTACACCAACAGTGCTATGAACTACTGTCAGTTCTTGTTCGTTCACACACATACTATAAATCTAACACACCCATCATCCATTTTATTAGCTGTAGCTGTGTGCTTACATCATGTCATTGTCAGCCCAGCATGTTTTCACCCACGTGACTTTTAATCTTTAAGGGAGCAAAGTCACAAGAGTGGTACTATGTGCTAAATGCTAAACTGAACACGGTGCACTGAAAAGTAACAAAACAAACCAGCAGACAATTAGTAATTAGTAGAGCAAACCCACCTTTATCTTGATGTTTTGTCCTCATCCTTTTCTACATTTGTCATTTCTCTGCTCAAGAGGGATAAGTCCTCATTTCCATGTAACCTAACCTAACATTAGGGTCTGACAAACTCTGCTTGCATCAAAATGCAGTTAACGGCCATTACAGTGTGCATTTGCATAAACAAGCTCTCTTGTGGTGCATTTCGAGCACTCTCAGGGGCCTTCTGGCAGTCACAGGGGCCCTAAGCAGATGCTTATTCTGCTTATGCCTCCGGCCAGTTTGGCTTTAGGGTGTTTGAATCCTGTGCTGTTACAGGACAAAGCATCTTTGCAATAACTTTCTATTCATGTAGATATATGAAACGTTTAGGTTAATGTCACAATTCAAAGAATCTGTCAAAAAACACTGATAGCAACAAGTCAGCATAAGTAATTTGAATTCTAATCATTTGAGTGAAAAAGTGTTTTTGATGACACGATCAGTTATGTTTAAATGATACCAAATGATCCACCGTAATCTGAGGGCTTACGATGTGTGGTACATGTCCCTTTGCTTTCACTCACACGTTGGTGGTGAAGATGCCGTAGATCAGGTCTTGCTCCGGCAGGTAGAAGGTGCTCTGCAGCTCATTGTAGTAGAAGGGGATTTCCCCAGACCGGGAGCAGTTAAGCCTCGCCTTCATGAACGTGGTCCAGGTGTCCTCCAGGAGAAACCGCCCGCCAATGTCGTTTTTGCACACTCGTGCCACGCGGGAGTAGACCGTCTTGCCACAGTCGTGCTCTACTGCGTTCTCCCTCAGGAAGAAGAAGGTGAAGAGGCCGATGTCATAGGCTGAGATGAAGTGGGGCTCTGCCGGGAAGGAGGAGGAGGAGGGTGGGAGAGGAATGTTACATAGTGACTCCAGGGAAACATTTAAATATTTGCATCATTTATCTTCTAGATGCTGCTTTGACCCCAGTACTCATTATTATCACATGCACTCCAAACAGTGGAATTCTACTGTTGCACCCCCATTTGAGATGGTCTGGAAAAGAACCTGCAAGCAAGAGAAGGGAGTACAGAGCAAGGAGGGGAGGAGAAGATAACAAATGGTTACCAATAAATCTGTCTGATGTTTTGATGGTAAATCCATGGAGCTACGTCTGTCTAACTGGATGCCTGTGCTGCTTTTACTGCCCTGGGCGACACTGCCAATGATTAATGGCCCTCCCTGCTGGGTGGGTTATCAGGTAGAGCAGACTGAATAACAGTTTGAATGGGATGTTACTGTCATTCTTTGTAAACACACGACTCAGAAGAGAATTCTAATTCATTGCTGTGAGCACACGGAGAAAAAGCATGAAGTTGTACAACTATGTCAGTCTAAACTCCAACAGTTGGAGGCTGATGTGACATCAAACGTCTTCGTGATGTCTGACCCACATTCCTCAAAACATTTATTCCTTGTTGCTTTTTATAGTATCTAATCATCGTCTTTATGTGCCAACATTTTAAAATATGAGTATCTGATATTTCTGCCAACACCTCAGCTCCATCAGGCTTGAGTGGGATTTTGTTTGTGGTGCTTGCCGCCTCTAAAAATGACATCTGTGCTGAACATCTGTGATGAACTCAAACATAGCATGTCTTTCCAGAAACAGTCCAGATTATTCTGTAGCTCTGAGTGAACAGCTCTCAATGAACCTTTCAGGACAGCACAGCAGCAGGTGTCTGCAGTGTATTAATGTCAGCTGACAGGTGCTGAAGAGATTTATGACATATAATATTGAAATTCAAGCCAGATTTGAAAAATAAATCAATGTAAATATGGCTAACAGTTGTCTTTTGATATAGCTATAGATCCATTCCTTCTCACATCCCACAGGCTTATCATCACAGCGTGACTACCTTCTTGTGACATTTATGATATTTATGTTATAATCTGAAAGTGAAGAGTCCAAAAGGAAACCTCCATGGTGCTGTTAGAGCAATGAGCTGAATGTGGCTTCATCACACTGTTGTTTTATTTCCTCCTGCTCTTTTCTTTTTCAGGCGAGTCATGTGCACGAGAGGTGAAACAGAGAAAACACTCCTGTGCTGTTGGCGCTTCAGTTTTCCTCTGGGACCCATTTACCGTAAGTGATATCACACACCCAGACACATGCTCGCACACTCACATGAGCACAAAAACAAATGGAGGAATAAACCTTAATGTACACGGAGCCGTGCACCCTCGTAAACAAACAAACAAAAACAGGGCGATGCTGTTATAGTCATACACACAAATACAGAAAGCGGAGCTGACCTGTTAACAGAATGTGCCTCTGGGGCAAACGAGGCCTTTTATAAGAGAATAAGACTTTGATACAGAGCAGGAAGAGACACAACAGCCATCAAATTCCATTTCACATCTGTGATTAAAACAATCAGTGGTTTGAACTGACCACACATAAAGGCACTCGGGGTGTAAAAACACTATTTCAGCAAAGACACCATCACCTGAGGGACAGTAAACGTTCAAGGGGCCGAAGACCTCACGCTTGGACAATCACACTTATTCTACAACGATGTGAGGCGAACGTGTTAAAAGGGTGAAAGGTGATCTAATGTTTTCAGTTTACATTTAATGAAGTGGAGGTTCTTATCAAGTCCGTCTTGATCTACAGTTACAGGCTCAACAAGCCACAATGTTATTAAAGAAAGTAACAAACCCAGTCGATGTCATCGTTATCATCATGGCTGACATCCAAAGCTGCAGTTGCATTTAATCTTTAGATCTGTAGCAAAAACAACTTGTCAAACCACTTGCTGTCGATGAGCAGCACATCCCCAGTCAACAAACATGGAGATGACCAAGTGGGCTGTTTCCCGTCTGCTGGCTCAGCTGAACAGATAACTATCATAATGTATTAGTGCTACGTGCACTCTTTCTCTGCAGCTAAACGCCAGGTATAGAGCCAGCTGCGTTTATGCATGTCTCAACTGTGTAGTGTAAGAGAAGTGTGTACATCAGTGTCTTTGTGTGTGTGTGTGTGTCTTAGCCAAAAGGCAGGTGCAGGCTGACAGATTCTGCAAAACAATACTGATGCTGTGTGGGTGCAAATGTGACAAACAGAGTTTTTCCAGCTCCCTGCTGAGCAGTGAACAGGTTGTTCTGTCTGGCAGGTGGTTGGGAGCTGGAGAAGTGACGCTGCTGTCGCTAACATCACTTTAGATCAAACATACTTTTACTATGCACATAAGAGAATATGGCACAAGAGGAAGGCAGAGGTCGGACGTAATGAAGTACAAATACTTTGTTACTGTACTTAAGTAGAATCGCCAGGTATTAATTTTTCTGACCAGCCTTTACTTTGTTACTGTACTTAAGTAGAATCACCAGGTATCTGTACTCCAGTATTTATTTTTCTGACCATCTTTTAAAGCTGAACTGATCCTGAAATGTGTTCATGTTAGTTAATGTCGGTATATTATTTCTTTTGTTTGAAGTTAGAATAGTTTAATAGTCTTAGAGATATACTGAAATGACGTGAAGCTCAGTTACATTTGTAAGGAAACAGCTGGTAGAAATCCTTCAAAGGATTACTTTTTACTTTTATACTTTAAGTACATTCCAATTCCTTTTTTACTTTAGCCTTTTTTCTATCTGTCAAGTTTGACATTCTTTTACTACACAGCTGTAATGGATGTACAAAGTGCAGGACCTTGACATTTGTCTGATTAGTTCTGCATTTCCAGCAGGTTCCATTACCAACTTGGTGTCAACTAAAAATGACCTCTTTGGTTAAATTGTGGCTTGATTAACATCCTTCTGAGTTTTCATAGTTCAGCTCCTACTTTAACCAAGAGCTTGAAGTCGGTAAGTCATATCCATGAAAACATTATTCCTTATTTCAGGACTGATGAGGATTTGACTGAAAAATTAATCTGCCCTAATAGACACAGTAAAGCTCAATAAATTCAACAAAACCAAGGTGAGGAAGTTACAGTGGTGGAGGGAGCTGCAGCAAACAGTGCAAAGTAATTAGTGAGGAGTGTCAGGTTATAGTGGTACACCTGTATGAATCTGACTGGATGTTCCAGGTCAGCTGGCACATGAATGAGTCACTGACGGTGAGTGTGACCAAAGCAGCTAATGCCAATCATCACCTAATAAAACGCTCCATTTGCCAGGAGCAGATCTCGTAGGAAAAAGGAATGAAACATAAACATTAAACAGGTGCAGTAGTAGTTTTATTTACAGGTAGAAATGTCACATGTTTGTATGGTTATACACAGGATTTAAGAGGTTTCTGGCTTTAGCTTCATATCTGGGACTGTGTGTGCCCAAACAGACTGAGAGGAGACAGCAAATAAGAGGAATATAAATAAATATGTTGTTACATACAAGGTCTTTGGAGGATTGAGCGAGGCACAGACATTGTTTGGATTATTTCACAGGTGACTCTGTAGCCCCTCATGTCATTCAGATGCATGATGGGAAACAGCTGGTCAGCACCTGGCAAGGTTCCAATCCAATAATGGAACAGATTGATTAGATTGAGGACCCCTCCCTGCCGTCGATTCCCCTGAACTGGAGAGGCTTAGAGCTGGAAATGAGATTTTCATTCACACCCCAAATCCTCTGAGAGCCCAACTCCATAACCCTCCAAGAATCAGCGGCGAAGCAAAGCAGGCTTTGTCTGTGATGGTGCGGCTGTGTGTGTTTGTTACTAAAGTCGAGTGCAATATGTGTTTGACTGTGTGTGTGTGTGTGTGTGTGTGTACGGCTGATGTTGATGAGGACACATCCACTTATCTACATACTCTGTGTGTGTTTTGTGTACGACACACACGCATAGGCCAGACACACATGGAAGCACATGCATTAATAAATAAGTAAACACACAAGCACACACTCACGTGCACTTAAAAAGTCCCTGTGTGATGTGAAGCATGCTGTGTGTTGTAATTTCACCCTCTCCCTGCTGTGAGGAATAATTACATCACTGACCGAGTCCTCAGTCTGTTTCCTCTGCTCCCCTCTCATCCTCCTCCTGCCTCCTCTATCAACACACCACATACTTGTATTTCTGCCTTTACTCTAACTCCCTAATTTCCAAATCTTTCAACACTACAGCTGACCTAACACGGTGTACTGTATGGTAATACCCGTTTGGTGATTGGTGATTAATGCATTAGTCATATGTCAGAGCATCTGATGATGGATTAATTGATCAAGTCTTTTATAAAGCAAAAACTCTTAAGCATTTATTCGCTCTAGCTATTCTATGTTTCATATTGTGAAATGCCAACTTTTTATTTTAGATGCCGGTTAAACATAACGGTCATCTAAAGACGTCCCCTGGTTTAGCTCAGAGCTAGTGGGACATATGCTGGATTGGATGTTATTTATTAAGACATTTGTTGTATTTTGTTAATAATCAAAATCACAGTTGATTTCTTTCCCATTTTTATATCCACAGGCTAGTGGGACATATGCTGGATTGGATGTTTATTAAGACATTTGTTGTATTAAGACATTTGTTGTATTGTACCTTTGACAGATGCTCGTCTTTTTTACTGATAATTCAAACTAGTGAGTTTCATGTTCATCTACACCTCAGAGTTACCAAGGAACCGTCACTCAGCAAATGTCGTCTGATGCAGGAAATACATTTGACCTTTACTTCCAGAACCACCTCACTGTTCTGTACAACTTCATGAATCCAGTAATTTCTGCATATTAGAGGAACTTGATGACAGCCTCTTACAGTGGAGGGTCCAACTACATTTCTGCTGGATTCAGGGTGTGGATTCAGGGATTTCTGCTGCAGCGAGGAAAGATTATTGACACTGACACCAGTTGGACTACACAGCAGTTTATATTCTACACTATTCCATAAATTCCTGATCGGTACTGTGTGTGTAACACACTCAACCTCGACTCAACCGTCTTTGTAATCCTGTGAAAACACCCCTGTAGAGTTGATGCATCTTGGCTGTAACTAAAGAGCCAATTGTGCTGGAAGAAAACGTGCAGACTTTCCCATCTGCCACTCCAAGCAGGCATCAGAAGACATTTAAAGTAGCAGGAGGAATTTTCAGAGATTGTTTGACACAAGTCTGTACCCTACTATTTAGCCTCGTGTGGATTATTGGAAAATCCAATCAGTTACTTCTAATCATATTATCAATTCTTTTAGATTTGAATCCTCACATCTGATACAAAACAGTGACGAAACACTGAACCTAGGAAACAATTAAAGCTGTAACTCAAACCAGTACGTTTTAAATATGCTCATTTCAGTGTTCTAAAATTAACCAGAGTCAATCAATGGAGATGATTTCTAATCGCTGAAGTTATTTACTGAGCAAAAATGACAAGTTTCCTTTTGGTCAAGGTTCTTCAGCGTGAGGATTTGGTGCATGTCCCTGTTTGGCATCAGCCCAAAGGAGCTGTTTCACAGTGTTGTGATATAATGTATTAGATATAGATCAAAATAAATCATTAATTGGTGATTAAAACAATCAGTTCCAGCACAAAAACACATGAATAAATGATACTCTAAATATAAATAAATAAATACTTCTCAGTGTGAGCCAAGGAACATCATATATGGCGTTTTTGTGTGTTACTGTACCATTGAGCCACTTCGAGTTGTACTGGGCGGTCCGGAGAGGCGGCATGCCACCCAGGCTGCGGTATATGACAGGGTCACGGCCAGAGAAGTCAATGACTGTGGCGGCATACAGCTCTCCGCTCTCTGTCACTACTGCCGTGGAGTTGTGACGAGGGTCGTACGGGCAGCGTGCCACGCCGTTCACCCGCTCTAGCATGCTGCTCATGTTGCCCACCTGTGATGGATAAAAACACAGATGGAGAAGTGGTGAGAAAAGGCAAGTAACAGGTCAAGCCTAGAGTGTTTTTACTGCATTTCTCCATATTTACACACACACAATCATGCACTCAGTCTTACCTCTCGGGTAATACACAGTGGTTGGAAAGCATTGGTTCCACAGGTCATGACCTCAGTCTTGTTCACCAGCAGGACTCTGATGTAGTTCTGACACTCAATCTGCACAGAAGCAGGTGAAGAAGAAAGCTTTCAGAAAGTTTCAGCAGAGCCACAGCTGAGGTGTTTGTCCAAATACACTTTGGCATGTTGCTGAGAAGAACAATGAACCAAGTGTTCTGGTACCACACTGGAACTCAACCAAAAGCAAAGCAATTGTGTGTGAATCCTTCACTCTCCTAAGTCCATTGTTCAAAAATATGAATTCTAGAATGGAAGCCTATCTGTGACATCGACAGAGGCTCTACAATAAGTTAGGTAAATGCTTCAAGAAAAGAGTCAAAGCTTCTTTTTTTTTAACAAAGACATGAAAGAGATTTACTGGTAATGAAACATTTGATGTAAGTATCATTTTTTGCTTTGTGTTGTGGTGGAGAACTGAGGTAATTGCAGTGATGCAGGTTTCAAAGAGAATTTTTTTATTTATTTAGTTATTTTTGTATTTGATATTACTCTTCACTCTCTAGGCACCGTGGAAGATAAAATGACATGACAATCAGGTCTGACCAAATTGAAATAAGACCACTGATTGCAACACTGGTTATCAGACATACTTGAAAGAAGGTGCTTTTGTGTCTGTCCCTGCCTTACCCTAGGCTCTTCTGTTCCTTCCCTTCGCTCTTGCCCTCTCTCTTCACTGCAAGAAAAACAACTCTTGATTGAAGGGTCTGAAATAGCTGTTCTGTACAGAGGCCTCCCATGAGGCCCATAAGGACCTCAACACAACAGCCAGAAGATACTGTATCAGGATGGCCTCTCTGTAGGCCGAGCAGAGCTGACATGAAGTGTTGCAACTGGGGCCAGGATCAAGATTACCTCTGTTTTGCCTTTGCTCTGACAGGACTTCCTGGTTTCCTCGTCCGGTGCCCATTCTGTTACCTAGGAAACAAAAACAAGAAAGAGTCCAGGGAGAGAGGCCAAAAAGCAGTCAGCTGAGTCCTTCAGACACCACTAAACAGTTACAAAACAGCTGACTGTTGCTAATACTGTAGGCATGCACAAAAAGATGCATGAAAAGACTTTAACCTCATTGCTATTGGTTTATTGTGTAAACATGGCGACTGGCTTGCCAGCTAAGAGCTTATTTGAGGGTAGCAGACAAGGTAGCCAACGAGGCCGTTGAAGGGGTAGAGACAGCATTAGCATGTAAATAGCGCTCTCTCTCTCAATCTTCTTTTTTTCTTACCTCTCTAGCTTTGCCTCAGAAGGTTTGCAGCACTCGCCTCTGCTGTCACCCTCCCCTTTCACTACTGCTGGCCAATTATATTCCTGTTGATGGTTGTGTCTCGAGCTTAATTATGGATGCAGGCAACAGCGCTGCAGGACCACAGTGCAAACACACTAATGCATGTGCATACACACATGCCGCTTAGCCACCAGACTCACACTGGCGCTTGTTAAGAGGGTTGAGAGATGTCCCTCAGTCTATATGCAAGGTGCCAGGGGACCCACTGGTGTGTGTTTTTGGCCTCAATTTACTATCCTACCCAACTACTCTTCTTCTGATCTCACTGCCCAAGTCAAATATCTAAAAGTCCAAAAGTCTGGCATTATATAACATCAGTCTAATGTTCCAGCTTTGTCCATTTCTTTCTGCCCTCTCCCAGAAGAAGAGAAGACACTGCACATAATTATCTATTTCTTATTAGTTGCCTTTCCAGGACAATCGACCAGTGAGACAAAACTGTGACCCAACATTGAACAAAGCTTGACAAATGAGGCCGACCAAGAGTCAGCACAAAACTAGGTCAGTATTCCAGGAGACAAATGGTCTCGAACAAACAATAAGTCCAGAGTAAGACTCTCATCCACTATGTGGCTCATATTAAACACCTAAACTGTATGTAGATTTGGACCATTTTAGTGTTTAGATGTGACTTTGTGCTCTGTGCTCATTTTGCTTTAATTCTAGCTCAGGGACTAAAAACTGTATAGCCCCAAGACTCAGCGAGGAACTCTCTTGGGAAAATAAAGTCTTGACTTAATCACATTTTTAAGATTCTCAGTGCAGAGAATGCAGCTTTTTAAGAGTTTATATTTAATAATAATTTAACAGAACTTTCTGGAGATAAAATGTTGTGCTCCTTCCTGTGTGAGGTATATATATATATATAGACCTTTCATTTCATAAATCAACTGTGCTTGCAGAAGTGGAAATGTACGATTTTGGATGATTAGCCTCTGCACAGATTCTTGCTAATGAGTAAAAACACCAGTCTGAACAGAACTAGCCACAGCCTGATGAGCTCGTCAAACATCTGCATGTTGTCCTGGGATGTCTACCAAGGCTTCTATATGAAGTCAACTCATGGTGTCAACTGTTTTGTGACTGATCACACCAGAACTGTTTATGAGGCCAAAACACTGTAAAAGAAGTCATTTCTTCCCATTTGTGATGCCATGTTTGATTGTATGAGATGCAACTTAAAGCCCCTTGGATCAGTAAACTGACCCTCCAGCACTACCTGACCTGGTTGGCAGATTAATTGGGCAACTACCTGATGAAGAAGGTGAAATATTTAGCTGATAGATGTTCTGCTCATTCACTCACTAGCTGGTCAGTGCCTTTGTTGCTGCAGCGAGAGATGAGAGCGGTCAGAGTGAACCAATAGAGTAAAGCTTGGGGCCAGAGCTGAGGACAACTGCAGAGCCCATTGATAACTCTGTATGTTTGTCCCATTACAATAACTGCACCCCGACATCACACTCCACTGTTAATATAAAATTTTGATTAGAACAGCTTCAACCAAGCAAAACTAAACATAAACTCGACCAGACACAACCATATGCACAAACAGGTTCAAAGTGGAGACTTAAACAAATCCATTAGCTTTAAAGCTATGTTTAGGTCCTGCAGCTGGCAGAGCGTCGGCCCATATTGATAGTTACAGCTCATCTCCCCAACTCCCACGGCAGCTCCCTTCAATTAACCTGCTTCAGACAGCACTGGAGAAAAGGACAGCTACACAAAGTAAACCGCGATTAAAATGAAATTTGAGCTTCAGACATAAAACATGAATGAGATGAAGAAATAAAAATACTGAAAGTAGCTAATGTGCCCTTGAGGAGCTTGGCTGTCTCGTCACGTTGCCCGTGCCACTGTCGAACAGTACGCAGACAGTCGACAGCCTCAAACGTTGAGCAGCGTGGCACCTACCATTCAGAGAGCAGCCAGCCCCGATCACTCTGCCTGCTGAAATGAAAACACTCCTCCTCCACAGCCCCGCCTGTCAGCCTATGACAGCCTGGGGACCGATAGGATGATGTCATTGTAAACACACACATGATTGCTCACAGGGTGATGGATGCCTTTGCGATGAATCATGGCTTGGGGCATTACGATCTTTTCAGCAGGGCCCCATCTCCAAGGATCCCCATCGGCTTAACCCGCTGACCTTCACTAGCAAGTGCCCCCCCCTCCACAGCCACAGTCGCACAAAGCGCCTGTGAGAATACAAATTCTACCTCAAATACCTTCACACTGTTCCAAGCCCTGAATGGCCTGACTGCTGCCAACAGCATGAATAAGAGCTGTATAATGTGTGGGCAGGATGCAGTGTTCACAACACATCTAATATAAAGAAGGGTCACAAATACACATTCCATGCTGATATTCAAGTAATTATTTGCTGCATATTTATTCACTTGAAATGCAAAAGTACCACCCAGTATCCTAGCCAGATGTCTGTTGACTTAGGAAAATGTGGAACAAATGAAATAAAATTTAGTTTAGAAAAAAGAAAACATAAGCATCAAATTTACAAAGAGCTTTCCCCACTCTTTGTTTAAGGTTAGGAAGGTCTGTGCTGATGATTAAAAGAAACTGGTGTTGAGAACAGTCTCCCCTGTCAACCCCAAACTAACCACCATACTGTATGTACCAGACCTGGATCTGTCACGTTCCAGGTCCAACACTGCTGGAGTTAATACACTGCCAGTGTACAATGTTGGATATATGAGGGGAGCGTCTCATGCAGCTCAACCACGTCTCTTTCCTCACAGGCCAGCTGTCAGAACAGGTTGCATCTGTGAAGAGTGACAACCACTTTTACTAGGTTTGTGTTTGTCTCTTCTCCTTCAAAAACCATGAAACAGGAGAAAGACCACTACAGCATTTCATCTATGTGATATTCAAGAAATACAGATGCAAGATAAAGACCAGGCAGCATCTGTGCAAAGTACAGTCACTAGGTGTGTATTACACCGATCATGGAGTTGTAAAAGTATATTAAGGCTTGTAAAGCACAAAAGACATGTCTGTAAACACCTCGATATGTCTACAGTTTAATAGAAGTTGTGAAAAACATCCAGCGGTCAACTGAACGAGAACAGAGATGGAGTTGGCTCAGTAAGATGTTTTCTGGCACTGTAGCAAAGTCAGCATTTCCAACTCTTAGCGGCCTCATCTGACATCTGAACAATCAACCAGGACTGTCGTTTTCCTGTTGACGACAGCCTATGTACAATTATCAGTAACAAAATTGTAGATTTTATTAACATAAAGGATAATGTTAATATACAACGGATAATTTGTCAAGGATAAATATGGAAGGGAAAAAAGCATGTGAAATGTAATTTAGGTCCCTGTCCCTGTTACATGAACTACTGGATAATTAAAGTCGGCAGTGTCTCAGATCGGTGGAATCATCCGAGACAAGTCAGACAGAGAGTTTCAGTCATTTTTCAAGCTCTAATAAGGCCCAAGGTCACACAGCTTGTTTAGTATCTGTGCTTGTAGCCTCAGATGCATGTTAGGGTTCACTTCCATCTATTAGCAAGGTCAACCTCCATGTACATTCTTTGAAATCAAGCCCCTTTCCAAACCTGAGCCCAACTTCCCATTTCTTCCAAACTTGCCACTCCTTAAACACAGTAAGAAAATCCTGCCCCAGGCCTCTTTCTTTAAGGAGAGAAAAGGGGCGAAAAACATGAATTTTTTATGGGCAAATAAAATAGGCAGAAAATACAATTAGTAGCAGGAAAGAGGATCCATCACTTTTACTGCAGAGAGATGGTGACTGGGCTCGAAAATTAATTCTATTTTTATGAGAAAGAAGAACAGAAGGGAGAGAGAGATGGAGAGCAGGCAACACTAATGAAGTAAAAAGAATTTGCAAGCAGCAGTGGCTGCAAATGTGGTCGTTCCTGACATGTGGCGCTGTGTTGATAAGGCTGCCTCTCACTGACACACTGCTAACATCATGTGTGACAACTAATTATAACTCATGAATATTGTAAGTAAGTGCGTCAGGGGAGTTATGGGTGTTTGAATAGGAGCTGTCTAGCACTTGTTACAGTCAAGATAGATTTTTATAGCAGTGCAGTGGGATTGGACCAAACTGGTGTGACTTTAGTCTAGAAAAGTACCAAATAATAAAAAAAAAATTAACAATTTCTTTTTATAAAGCATAGTGCTTTCAACATCCAGACATTAGCCTACATTACAACCTAAACTAATAAAGACAATTTCAGAAAATGACTTGAAAAACTAATAGCACATTCTGCTAAAATGCCCTGAGCGTGACAGAAGATAGTTCAGCACTGATAATGAAAATCAGGACATTTAAGAAGAACACTTCCTAGAAATATTTACTCTACCTTTTGCTCTAGGGCAGAAAAAAACACAGACAGATGTGCCATACATGTAAGCAGGTCGTTTGCAATCAAAGCATGAATGGGCAGCATGTCGTCAGTGTCTCAGATGAACACATCACAGGCTCATTGTCTTTTCTTCTCTATTCATCCTGCTACATTGCATAGTTTTCCTCTGACATGTGACATTCTGCATATCCACCCTTCACCTCAGAGATGATTCATCTGTTTTTCTTCACTTTAAAGCATCCTTCACTTTTAGGTTGTTGGTTGTTTCCACTTATCTC